CCAAGTGGACTGGTGAGTGGAGATTCCTTCATAGTATATGAAGGTTCTAAGCGTGTTTCCAAGTCATGCTTGCTGCAGTGTCTGCCATTCCCTCACATCCAGGTGTGTGTGTGTGTGTGCGCACACACACAATTTATTTGAATTTTGCTACATGAGGAAATGAGGAGGCAACTGAACTTCATCTTCAATGATGCAGCACAGTGTTGATGAGACAACACTGCTGCTTACAATGAGGTAGCAAAGGTTTTGGACCAGTAGTAGCTACAAAAACTAAATCCCTTAGAAATGACAAAAATCCAAAGGGTCAGCATGGGAGCACAAGTACATGCACTGGATTTGAGGAGGTAGAAGGCTCTCAGCTGATGCTTGGGCTTTCACAAAGCATTTGTGCCTGTGGCTTGCTGTAAGGGGGATGCTGTGGAATAAAGTGGGAGGAAACTTCTGACCTTGCTGCTCATTGCAACTGGAGTGTGTGTAGCAGACTCCCTTTAGGCACACCCGATGGGAGTTCAGGAGCACCAAATCCTCAGCCTTCAAGCCCCCTTGCAGTGAGAGGACATCGGCCAAAGTGGGGCTGAGGAAGCCTTGGCAGACCCTTCTTCTTCACATCCAATCACTGGGTATAGGGTGGAGTTAAGTGGTCTTGGCTGATGCTGAGGGGTGCTGGACAGAAGCTAACATGCACCCTGAAATCTCACGTGCCTGTGGGGCTCTCAACTAGATCCATGCACGTGTGGAAGCACTGACAGTTGCGCATCACCACCTTGTCCAGGGAAGAGATCAGAAGGGTTATGAGCAGAGGGTGGGCCCAGGACAGCAGGAAGTGCCAGACGTGTAGAGGAACAGAACCATCTCTGTATACTGACCTGGTTGGGACGTTGCACTGCCTGGCTTCAGCCTTGCTGCTGACTGACTGACTAGAATCTGGAACCAGACACCCTATGTATGTGACTAGACTGCTCTCCCAGTGCTGCTACGTGTGTGGCCTCAATCTGGCTCTTGGGGTGATCTTCCTACTGTTACTTTGGAGTTCCAGAGAACATGAACTTCACAGAACACGGTCACCAAACAGGGATGAGCTGTCAGCCCTGAGCTTGGGATAATGCTGCGTAGTGGCAGGAACTATACACAAAGATGGGAATCAGAAGGCTTGAAGGGAGACAGTTCACACTCAGTTGTGGGCATTTTAGGAGGGAAGGCTGTATAGCAGAGTCACAGACTTGGAAAGGGGCATTACTTGTAGAACAGGATTAAAATAATATATACCTGAGAAAGATGATCTTCAGATAAAAACATTTTAAAGTGATCATCAGTACTTTTGATGAATCTAAGAAGCAAAGCCAAAAGCAGTACCAAGCTTTCTATTAGGCTATAGCCCCAGCTCTAAGAACATTATATTCTGGGACAGTGACAAACAGCTGTTGTCAGGGTCCTTCTAAGACCACTGCAGAGAGAAACTGCAAACAGAGGCCTCACTTCCAGGGCAAAGGGAAGAATTAAGCTAATGTGGCCGTGCAATGCTGGCTTTGTTTTCTGACCTGATTCCCCTCACTCCCCTCAGTAAGTCGTGGCTCCTGGCTCTGCCGCCCATGGCATCCTGATCTGATCACTTTGGGGAGGGTCAGCTGATACTTGAGTGGTCCTGGAACACTGTCCCCACGAGCTGCTTCCATCTTCTTCAGATTTATGGTGGTCTCAAAACCAGCATTCTTGGAGACCTGAAGGGATGAGGTGCACCTCCTTCACGTCTCCAGGTTGGACACAAGTCCGTGCATCCCAGTATCTTTGTACAGGGCAGCTGGCTTCAGACATCTACCTGTATTCAATACAGTCATGATTCTTTCATTAAAATAACTCACAAAAGAGCCACTTTTTTCTTTCTTCCCACTAAAATCCCAAGTCATCCCCAATTTTGCTTTTCTCCCACAAAGCTAACCCAGACCCTTCCTCTCCTATTTCATTCTTGCTGTATTTCAATCCACATGGATTCCCTTAGCTGGGAGCATTGAGTCTACAACTGTGACAATAATGGCTCATGATCCACTTCTATTGTTTTTCAGGTCCTAAAGCCTAAAGCCCCCTCCATACTCTGTTCACTCCATACACACACAGATAGCATGAACACATTTTCCCAAGTGCAGAATCATATATATTCTGAGTGACTGGGTGATTGGCATTCAAGTTTTGACCAGTTTCAAGATGCTACAGCTAGATAAAGGAAAGACCATACACAGACACTGAATCTATGTTACACAAGGAAGACTTTGTCAGTTGGTATACAAGAGTCAAGGGTTTCAGGTTATACACAACACATCCAGAAGGCTCTCGGACAATTCCGAGCACCTTATTCCTTTTAGGTAGTAAGTTTCCCTGGATGGAAGGCCTCCGAGAAGCTGCATTCCTTTCTCAGGGCCTCCACAGTTTGGTTTGTTGATGCCAGGAATTCATGGTCTCCTCCTTTAACTTCTTCAGAGCAGTAGTGATGATAAACTGTGAAATGCAGGCATAGGAGGTGTTCTGTTACCACCGCTCACATAATGTACGGGGCGACCTCAGCTCTGAGAGGGGAGCACAGTAGGCCTTCCCTGTCTGCAGAGAGGGAAAATGCATACACAGAGTTCATGAGACTCACCAAGGGCAGTCAGCTATTTGAGTCTGTACCTTATGTTTTTCCTAGCAGGCATGGGCAGCTGTGGCATATGTAACTGGGCCACCTGGCTGAGGCTCACAGAGCCTGCAGCCAGCTGTGGTATGGTGGGGGGGGGGGGCGGTTAGGATCCAGCTGTGATTCAGTTTTCTCTGCTTCTCAACAGGATTCATCCCAGGCAATGATGCCAATGACAACAGATGTCACTACCAGCTGCAACATGAGAGATTCCTTTGGCAAAGGAATTGGGACACTCTAGTATCTCTGCTCAGGATGGAGTCTAGCTAGCCTTCTTTCAGACAAATTAGGGAGATGAGGCTTACACTAAACAGTGAAAATGACTGAATGCAGCTTCTGAGAGGTCCACAACTGTTTCAGATGTTTACACAAAAGAATCTGATCAATTCCAGAAAAACAAACCAAAAACTTTTCTTCTGAAGCCACCCTGAGTGGTAAAGATAAGGTACATATCTTAACTTACATAAGGGTGAAGTATTATCGGTGTTCAACTGCACAAGACACATTACTGGAGTTACAGTTCAATGGCATGCACCCTACGGATTGCACTTAAACTACAACTGTGTTGCGTGGTTTCTCCATTACATGGCACCAAATGCTTTCCCATTGTACAACTGTTACTTAGTGAGATCTGGTTTTAACTACAATATTTTAAGAGCCAATTTCTACTAAAATGTGTCGTGAAAAATGTAATAGTTTAACTTTATACACATTTTCCATTTACAGCAGAGGAAGTACAGGAATTATGCACTCAAATGGGAGGTGCTGCCTTCAAAGTAGTTACCGTGGAAAGATACATGTTTACTTCATGAAGCTCACATTATGCAGAACATTTCTAGAACTCTCACTGGAAACTGTAACTTGTAAGCTTCCTCAGGTTGGTCAATCTTTTCCTTTAATGGAAGATCTAGTTTCTGAGGAATACTTTTTTAACCAAAGGCATTAAGAAATAAATCTGACAATTACAGCCAGGGAGATAGCTCAGTGGCATAAGTGCCTGGCTGGCAAGTGCAAGGTCCAGAGTTTGGCCCTCAGCACCCCTCCCCACCAAATCTGACAAATAAAATGGGTGTGGAACTTGGCACTACCTTGGCAGGAGGGAGATTAAAACAAAAAGCAAGGCTTGATGATAAAGTTGTGAGGCCTCTTTCCTCTCATGGCTTCAAGGATAACCCCCAAGAGGAATTTTAAGTGTCCTTGGAGCATGAAAAACCACAGCTCGAGAGTATGGTCTCCCAAGGAAATAACTGCAGTAACGGTCACTCTGGAGTGTGTGTGTTCTCGTGTATTTGGTCGTTGCTCTTTTCAGTCATACTTCAGGTAAGCAGAATTGGGGAACTCCTTCACCATGGTTTCTCCCAAGGGAAAGATCTGATCTACTGACGAAGAGTTAAAACAAGAAGCACTTAGTGTCATGTCTACATTAGCTTCCCTCCCCCAACACGCAGGGAGTCATTCCTGATACCTGAGTCTCCTCAGTCTGGAAACGTGGGTAAGGACAGGTCTTTGGAGCCTGGAGAGAAGAGCATGTCCAGAGAGTTGCAGCGGGTCTCCAAAGGCCGGCTCTACCCAAAAGGCCCACAGCGTCCGCTCATACAGAAACCCCCTACAGCTACGCAGTACAGAAAGTCTCAGGACAGGAAGGAGAAGGATGATTATCTTGTAACTTTCTGGGTAAAAACCCACTGGCTTCTGGATGACAAGTGAACAGTCCATTGAAAAGCAAGTCCATGATGTTAGATTCCAGTGCACACTCAAGAAATAAAGTAGTGTGTGGCCACCAGCCCATCGAAGCCCATTTCCAGCTGAGGCCAAAGGCAGCAAAGGTGCAAGAAGCCGCTGGAGCTTTAGTTGAAGCAGGGTGTATGAATTCAGAGTGGCAAAGCAATTTGTAGAAAAGCCCAGTTACAAAGCAGGACATATGCCAACCAGTAAAGCCAAAGCACATTCAATCCCACTTCTTACAAAGTGCTTCACTGTGAATGCTAATGCAGATGCTCCCTAAAACATCATATCCTGAGTGCTGAATATGGCCAAGAAGGACGGTCAGGATGGTGCCTGAAAGGGAGCAGAGACCGGTCCTCTGATAGTACTTCAGTATGCATCTCCCAAGCACCACACACACGCTGAGTGAGGAACACATTACTGCAGTCACAGTCCACCCCGTCTGCACAGGCTGCCAGCTCTATTTCCCCGAGTCGTTCCAAGCTCATGTTCTCTATGCTAATAGCCAGGAACAGCAGCACAGAGTCAGCGCTTTAAAGTCTACCATTCTATCCAAGTGCTCACAGCAGGAATTAGACTCAAACAGATCAGTGGAGACGGTGGTAGTGGCGAGTGTTTTTACATTAGCATCTGTAAAAACAACAAAGCTAGGCCATTTGCTCAAATCATCATTAGAAAGAATGCTGAGTGCCCAGATGGGATTTCTAGTTCCTGTGCAAATGAAATCACATTAGTCCAGATTTTATTCACATGAAACTACTAGGGAAGCAGTAGGATTTGGTTTAAATGCTGCCAAAAAGCAGGAATTCACTTAAGTTTTAATTCTGAAGCAATCCTGTTGTTAATGTTGTAGCCAGGCTCAGGCAGCACAGGGGGTGGGCCCCCCATTGTGTTCGCTGAGGAATCTCGGACCTCGCCCAGTTCAGGCTCACTCTCACTAGAGGTAGACCCGTTGTTGATGGGGTAGACGCTCTCCGCAACCCCCTGAGCTGAGGCACGACCATCTGGCTCGCTCTTCTCCCTGGGGCTTGACAGTCCTGGGAGGACAGCCATCTTCCCAGTCTGCCTGTTTGGCAGCAAGGACATGGAATAGTCTGCGATGATGCCGCCCACGTCTAAGTTGCATGCCTGGTCGAAGGCTAGGAAGCCAACGTTGGCATTTGCTTCACAAACCACAAAGGAGCCGTCATCCATGATGAGAAGATCAATGCCACAGAAGTCCATGCCCAGGATGTTGGACACCTGAATAGCCAGCTGCTTGCCTTGTTCTGTCAGGGGGCACATGACGCCCACACCACCTGTGAGGAGAGCACAGTGACGTCACCGTGGCAATGGGTACAGAGGAATCAGGCGACGCATCAAAGAAGAGGTAAGGACTGCTGACAAGGGGCAGAGAGATGGCAGTGTCATTTTCCACAAAAAGTTCAGATGGAAATTTGGACACCGTTTGGAACAACACGGTCATTTCTTATTTAGAGTCTTAAAAATGCTGATATTCTCTGACCCAACCATCCCATCACTGAAAAACTAATTTTATGTGTGTGCAAAAATGTTGGTGATAGTATTATTTAAAATACCGGAAAATCGTGGTCCCTGGTACATAGTGGGTTTTTAATACATATTTGTCAAACAATGAGATAAAAAATTATAATCTAAATACCTCACAAAAGAAGAAAACAGTGTATCTTACAACCACTAATAACTGTTCAGAGTGTAACTCCATGGGAAAACACTTAAGAGGCTCAGGACTATCAGACTGTATAAAGGGATATTTGCCAAAAAGATGAAAAGGAATGACGCCAAAATGTTAACAGTGGCTGTCTCTAAAAAGGGATAATAATTAAAAAAAAAACTTAACTATACTTATTTTCTAAATTTTCTACATTGAAAATGTATTCCTTTTATGATTAGAAAAAAATAAAATTATCTAGATATGGTGGTGCATGCCTAGAATCCTAGCACTGGGAGACTGAGGCAGGACTGCCAAGAGTTCAAGGCCAGCCTGGGCTCCATAGTGACTTAAGGCCAGCTTGAATTACATAGCAAGAACCTATCTAAAAAATAAAAATAATAATAATAATAATGTTGATTTTTAAGAAAAGAAAACTACAAAGGATTATGACACAAAATACTGTACTGAGAACAGGAAGAATCTGATTACCCAGATTTGTTAAAAAGCTAGGACCTCAGACTTAATTGTCTCCATTTACTCTCCCTGGAAAGACTAAAGATTTGTGTTCTCAGGTCCTCTAAGCAATGTCTGTACCTTGACACTGTCCCTTCACCTATGACACTATATAGGAAAAAGGCCATAAAACAATTTCACAACAGCTTCGAAGAAAATAGCCCTGGCTATATAATAAAGCCATCTAATTACTAGTTAAAGAATTAATTTTGTAAGACAACTTAAAAAAACAAAACAATTCACAACCTCTACTATGCAGCCACATAGGATGATTGTGAAAATGAGTAAGAGAACTTCTAAAGTACTGAGTGCCGCTGGGTATGATGGTGCACGCCTGTAATCCCAGTACTCTGCAGGGTGCGGTAGGAGGATCACTGGTTCAAGGCCAGCTTGGGCTACACAGCAAGACCCTGTCTCAAAAACAAAAGCAACAACAACAAAAAGCACCAAATACCATGTCCAACTGAATCTTAGCACCTAACCCCCATACCACCTGCCACAACATTTCACCATTTCCTGTTTGCACGCTTGGGCCCCCCATAACCTCTATCCTCTCAACATCTGCTGCAGACCCCCTGTCGGCTGCTCAATACATGTTAGCAAAAGAAGAACGCAATCACTGTTTACGCCTCTTTATTAGTCACTGGGCTAGGTATGCACTTCTGATGAGCTAGGAAACAGTGACCATGTGTATCTTTTTAAAATCACCAGCATAGAAAATTGTTCACTGTGGTTGACAATAGCTTCGTGTGATGAGGATAAGAATCTGCATCCCTCCTGGCGTATTTCTACTCACTGTGATAGGTTGAAGGATTACACATTCAACCAAAATATAGCCTGCAGCTTTCTAACAGCATCATACATAAGAGGAAAAAGCTTTCCAATTAAAATGTAAAAGCAAAATATGAGACCCTTAATGTTCCCGGCCCAAGCTGCTGCACATCTTCCAAACTCATCTTCCTGCCCCATCACATTCCTTCCATCTCTCCTTCACTGAGAGTATTTCTCAAATGTGTGTCCCCACGTCACTCCCTTGTTCAATCCTCATGCTAAGTCTCAATACCTGCATGACAGGGTTCAAATCTCTGTTCCCCTCACCCCACTCCTGACCTCTGACAAAATCCTAAGCAAGTTAGTGGTTCAGTTACAGAAACAGTTGCTTATTAGCATCTCCTGTCACCCTGAAGACATGGAGCGGGTGGGGCTTGTGGCTAACTCTGTCTTACTTCCCTAGACCTCACACTGCACCAACACTTTTTTTTTTGGCGGAACTGGGGATTGAACTCAGGCCCTTGTGCTTGCCAGGCAAGTACTTATTCTACTGAGCCATCTCCCCAGCCCCCCAACACTTCCTGAGAAGGACTTTTTTTTTTTGCTGGCTCAGGCTACCTTAAGGGCGGGTCTGGTGCGGGATGTGGAGCTGGGGATCGAACTGCAGTCAGGTCCCCCGCACCTGACTGAGTTTGCCCAAGCAGGTGCTTTAAACAATTGAGCTAACCCACAAGCCCCATCTGTGCCAACACTTCTATGTCTTCCTCTCGGATTCTTGGTGCCTCAGAAAGGATCTTGTTTTTTTGTTTTGTTTAATGTATTTGGTACAGGGTCTCACCACATAGCTTGGATTCATAGTGATCCTCCTGCTTTCAGCCTCTCCAGTGCTGGGATTACAGGCATGTGCCACCACACCAGGTCTTGGTGGCTGGTTTAGTGCACCCGGGGGTGGGGCTGGTATGGCTGATGGTGCCGGGGATCGAACCCTGGTCCCTGTGCTTACCTAAGCAGGTGCTTAGTCCACTGAGCTACCCAGCTGGCCCAAAGGCTCCTGTTTTATTCTTCTCTGTGAAATCCTGGTGTCTGGCCATGGTCTGACAAGACGGTGGGGATCAATACACATCTACTGAGCAGGTCGAAGCAGACTAAAGAAATATCCTGGAGGCGTCTGTGACCAAGAGGTTCACTCTGTGCCTTCAATTCTTACCAAGAGAGCAGTTGCTCTGCATCCGCCCATCTGTGGAGCAGCGAAGCATGGAGCCTATCACCTGGCCCCCAACCACCACCACCCGGATATCTTTCCCGTGCGACTCCTTCACGTATTTCTGGAACAGGTAGGGCACATCGTGGCGGATCAAATGGCAGATGTCTGAGAGGTGATGTTTGTCTCTTGCCAGAAAAACAGCTTTTCCTGTAAGAAGACAAACGAAGACCAAGAAAAGTGGTTAGTAAAGCCTCAGGCTGTTGTCCTCTCCCGGGTCCTTGTCTCCTGTCTTCCTGTCCCAAACAGGCATCAGTGCTTTCTGCACCTGTCTCACTCTGGTCCCTTTGATTTCTCTGATGATACTCTTACTTTTTGTCAAAATAAGGTCACTGAACCTTATTTTCTCTTATAAGGTTTTTTTTTTTTTTTTTTTTAATCTGAATGCCCTCATTTTTTTTTTTTGGGAAGGGGCTGGAGTGTTGTGGGGATCGAACTACAGCAACCT